ATTAAAAAAAAAAAAAAAAAAAAAGAATTAGTTCACCCTTTTAGGCTTCAGGTACTGAGCAAGAAATATCTGGCCTCATGCAAACCTTGCAGATGTACTTTTTTTTCCCTAAGAGATTTCAGATTTCAACAAATGACCCACTCTCTTGAATAACCCTGTTGATGGGGGAAGTAAGCACACACAGACTTCATCTTGTAACGGAAGTCCATGTAAAACCTTATTGTGTGTAATGTGTGATTACAGATTGAACTGCAGCCCATTCCTTTTTATTTCCCCACCACATGCCAACTTAGAGCTTCTTCTTTTTCTTTCCTACATTGATGGGGTTGAATCCTCTGCTGGGTTCTTCTAAGGTCTTCACAATAACTGCTTCTCTTTAGAGTGACACCCATCTCTTTGAGGATGTCAACTGTCTGGGTGCTGTGAATGGTCTTTGTTCTCTCAGTAGATGCAACAAAGAATGAAACACAGTTACATGTTTAATTGATCATATAGCTTTCCAACTTTCTAAGCTCTCCTACTCGGCCTTTCTCTCGAGATGCCTCTGGGTGGACGCGAACCTCCAGTCTTTCGGTTAGCAGCTGAGCATTTTAACTGCACCACCCCAAACCCCCAAAACCAAGCCCACTGCTGTTGAGTCGATTCCAACTCATAGTGACCCTACAGGACAGAGTAGAATTGCGCTATAGGGTTTCCAAGGCTGTAAATCTTTACGAAAGCAGACTGCTGCATCTTTCTTCCTTGGAGGAGCTGGTGGGTTCAAGCCTTTTGGGTAGCAGCCAAGCTCTTTAACCACTGCACCACCCAGGGACTTCTATTTCTAGTTGTTGTGTTGTGGTTGTTGGGTGTCACTGAGTCAATTCCGGCTCATAGCAACCCCATATGAGAGAGTAGAACTGCCCCATAGGGTTTTCTTGGATGTAATCTTTATGGAAGCAGATCACCAGGCCTTTCTTCTGAGGAGCCACTGGGTGAGTTCGAACTACCAGCCTTTTAGTTAGCAGCCAAGTGTTTAACCATTTGCACCACCAGGGCTCCTTCCTATTTCTAGATAAATCTTGCTAATCGTCTATTTCATAATTAGTTTCAAAGAACTAACTTTTTTTTTTAATATTTTATTGTACTTCAGGTGAAGGCTTACAGAACAGATAGTTTCTCATGTAACAGTAACACACATGCTGTTTTATGACAT